CTGGGGGTGCAGAGGGGGGCTCCCTACCGCTAGCTCGTTTGTTGGAGGCTGAATTATTAGTAGAAAATCTTCATTCCCTTAAAAATCTAGTTCACAGTAGCCATGTGGAACCTTGTCCTGAAGGCCCGTGGCTTCTTCTGCCACTAGCTCGTTTGTTGGAGGCTGAATTATTAGTAGAAAATCTTCATTCCCTTAAAAATCTAGTTCACAGTAGCCATGTGGAACCTTGTCCTGAAGGCCCGTGGCTTCTTCTCCCAGTCATGTGAATCTTTAAAAGTGTTTCTACTAAGGTCAAAAAACTAGACAAGTATATCTACTATTTAAAGTAGAGACTCTCTTAGAGGTTTTTGCTTAGGGTGCATGCATTCTCTGGAGAGAGAGATACACAATGAGGGGGAAAATGAGAAATCATCCCCAGGGGAAATGGCCACACTGCAATCCCTTCTCCTCTATTTTCCTCCAGTGATCTTGGGCATGCTCACACACTCACCCAGCATGATTTCCAAGCCACCAGGTCCAGGACTCAAACTGCCGTCAGCCATGTGGGAGTCCAGCAACATAACCACTATGCCATCTGCTGGTCTGCTGCATGCTATTTTATGAATATTATATGTTACATTTTTTCCATATTATTTATTTCATGAAAAACGAAGCCTTTAAAAAATTTTATTTGCAAAAGATTATTTATTGCACAATTTATCAGTTTGTGCTAAGAATAAAAACCAACATTATGCATAACAGATCAAGATTATAATAAACATGTTTTTATCTTTTCTTTAAATTTTTTTACATTAATTCACTATACATCATTACAGCATACAAAATGAATTTTCCATCCAAAATACACTGTATATTGGCTCAATCAAGCACATCAACATATGTGTTATCAACAAATAATTTTCCATTTATTTCCTGTATGGCATCCTTGATTCCCTATCCCTCCCCCTTTGCTGTATCCCCCCCTCCTCCCACATTGTCTCTGGTATCCATGGTTGCTTTCTATGCCTTATCCCCCACCCATTTAATTGATTTGCTAATGAACTTAATTAGTCTAAATATTTCCAATAGCAAGCACAGCTGATATATACATATACATGAACACAAGTCTGACTTTAGGCATAAACCTCAGTGAGTAGAATGAACATACTATAAAGTAGAACCTAGGTGGGGCTATATAGCTCACTGCAGTCATCAAATGCGCATTTTTTAAAAAAAATTTCGATAAAAACAGTTTTCGTTTTTTTTTTTCCCTCCTGAAATTTTTCTTAATGAATTAATTTACATTCATTCTCTAAGCATCATCACAACATACCAAATGTGTTTTCCCATCTAGAATAAACTGCATAGTGGCTTAATAATGCATGCTATCATCAATAATTTTCCATTTCTAGTTTCATATATATATATATATTTTCATATATATATA